GGGAAAATAAAAAAATAAAAAAATTAAAAATCTTTACACTACCTTAGACATCTTAGATTTGTTGTCACTGATAAGGAATGACATGTTGTTGATTTCATTTTGTACCACAAAGTTCTGCTCTTCCCTTTTGAAATTCTAGAAATATAGATGAGATCTCAGTTAGAAGCACTTATGATACATGAGGAATCTATCTAAAGAAACCTTACATAAAAATACAAATTAACTGGAAATTTCTAAAATCTACCACAGACAGAAAAAGATGAATAATAATGGCCAACTTTATTTACATGACATAGCTCGAGAGGTTGTGTATATTGGGGTTTGGTTTTTTTTCTGTGTTAGTGAGAAAAAAATGTTTCTTTGGCTTTGAAACAGCTATGATAAAACTCTATGATAAAAATCCTCCTGTAATTCAATAATAAAAACATTCTCTGGGTTTTCTTTAGTAGTAAATAGTCCATTTCCCACTCTTCCACACACCGCCCCTCCTATAAATCCAGTTACATTCAGATACATAGGGAACTTTAAATAAAAAACTGAACTTATGAATATACAAGTAATTTGATGATCTACCTAGAGTTTCTGTGCACAGTGATGTTTATAATAATCTTACAGTCAAATTCGGGCACAAGTGTGCAAATACATACTTCAGAGAATTGTAGTTATAGCAGAAAGGAAATTTAGTATAAACAATCCATACAGAAATATAATTACTGAAAGTATTTAGTCTCTTCTGATGTGTTTGTGTCCTGGGTTCAGCTACAGCAGTCATTTTGTCTCCTTCTTAGTAGCTGGTGCAGTGCTGTGCTTTTGACTTTCAGTCTGGGAACAACGCTGATAACACCGATGTTTTTAGTTGTTGCTAAGTAATGTTTACTCTGACCAAGGACTTTCTCAGTCTCATGCTTTGCCAGAGAGGAGGGGAAGCCAGGAGGAAGCAGAGACAGGACACCTGACCCAAACTGGCCAAAGGGGTATTCCATACCACAGCACGTCATGCCCAGTATAGAAACTGGGGGGAGTTACCCGGAAGGCCCAGATCGCTGCTCGGGTCGGGCTGGGTATCGGTCGGCGGGTGGTGAGCGGTTGTGTCCTTTTCCTTTGTTATTCCTCTTATCATTATTATTGGTAGCAGTAGTGATTTGTATTATACCTTAGTTACTGGAGAGCTGTTATCTCAACTCGTGGGAGTTACATTCCTCCAATTCTCCTCCCCATCCCTCCGGGAGTGGGGGGAGGAAGGAAAAAGGGGGGAGTAAGCGAGCGGCTGCGTGGTTCCAAGTTGCCGGCTGGGCTTGAACCACGACAGTTTGTTAATTTATTTATTTTTGATCCAGTGTTCACATGAATCATATTTTATTTTTATTTAAACACTATCAGTGATAATGCCTGATTAAGTCTTAAGGCAGACCCCTTGGTTACTGCATATGAACCAAAGGACTCAGACTTCAGAATCAAAGGTAAATTCTGTGTAAGTGGAATTAAGAAGAAATCCTTAACTTGTAAAATTTATGAAATATAAAATAGTATCATCTATGGAAAAAAATATTCTGAGAATTATTTGTAAGATATATTTGCTACTTCCTTGCTGACTTTCCTACATTAAATCCAGCTACAGATCTAGGCTTAATAATTGAATTATATACCTTTAACATTTGTTAAAGAAATACAGATCTACACTGCAACACAATCTAAGTGACCATAAAGAATGCTGCACGTTTCCTTCAGGAAACCCTTGTTGCATTAGTCATGTTGAGGTCCTTTCCACATAATTTTATTATAAGTTTTCCCAGAGGCTCAAGCAGACAGACTGTATGATTCAGGAAAATGGACTTTAATGAGGCAATTACTAGAAGTTTAGTAACCATACATCCTGCTTAAAAAAGGGCTTTGGGGGTGAAAATAACAATAGAAAAAGGGGGGTAAGGACACAGACCTCAATGAATTTTT